AAAACTGCAACTGTGTATGTTAATGATTATTTGGCTAAGGAAAGAAGTTTAACACATCCACTTTGCATACCAGATTTCTGAAATTAGATGAATACACCCATTTCAAACCTCCACATCAGGTCTTAAAACCTACTTTACAATCTGGAGAGAAGGAAAATCTATTCTTTATATACGTGGTTTGTCATATAAGAGCACAAACCAACCACATGCTCTTTCAATATTTCAAAGAACCTCTTCCACAGCTGTGAACAAAACCATGCATTTGGCTCTATTCCTTGACAGGTCAGGTTAATCCCAGCGATGCTGATTCTGCTAGAGCCAGATTGCTTCTAATACCTAAAGTCAAGCCAGTTTGGGTATTTCTACTTGGTGACACCATTCGTGATGGTACTGTAAACACAGGCAGACAGAACAACCTGCCGTGTTTCCCTGGGTCTGCAGGCAGAAGCAGCCCGGAGTGTCTGCTGTAGAATCCAGCCTGTGTCAGGCAAATGCCTAAGTGGCACTGGAACAGTCATAAACACTCCCCTTTTGCTTGTTTTTGCGTTTTTTTTTCAGATTCTTATCAACTCTAAGTCTTGTCCCTTTTTCTCTTGAGAGCTGAGCACTCATTTTGACTGCTGACCTCAGGCCAGAAGACCATGTAACCCTGTTGCACACAAGCCTCCATCACCCCTCTCCTCGGGCAGCGCTATCTGAGCGCAAACACGGCCCCGCTTCCACCTCTCCCCAAGCCACCAGCTCACCCGCTGCCTTGATCTTCCCTCAGCATTTTCCATTCTAAATTTCTCTGCAGTCTCCTGCGCCTCCCTCACGTTTCTCACCTCTCTTCTTCCATTTCCTTTTTACTCTCTCTGCAGTCTTCCTCCCTCTGGATCCCTATTTCCAGGCATGCTTCGTTCTGGACTTATACCGACTTTGCTGCTTTAGGTCTCCAGCTACTAAGAAAGCTCAACGTAGTTTAGTTAGCTAAAGGAAGGACAAAGTTTCACATCATTCCCCTACTTTCCATTCTAACACAAAGCTGGAAGGTCACGGATATGGTTCAAGTCTGATGGAAATTCTACCATTTGTTTCATCTCAGCAGCTGCGGATGGTAGAACTGGTTTTATAAAAAGTTGAACTGTTATTATCATGGTGTTTACTAAGGCTCTGTCCCAGACAATTCATCCTGCTTTCCACCTTTATTGAATTTGGCTCTCTGCTCTCCTCCTCGTGGTAACTGGCATTCCCAGTTAGATCCAGCCAAGGAGGGATGTGCTAGGATGAATTCCTAACGGATATACGTGTGTTCATAGACCACATAATGAAACAATGTTAAATGTCGCTGTTCAAACAACACCCTAACAAAACACCTTTACTGTATGCAGGTTTGGATATGATCCTACTTTCATTTCTACTTTCTACTTACCTTTTATAACTTGCAAGCTGCTGTTCAGATGCCATTTGATTCATGGGGAAAAGGCTCAGACAGTGGGGCTCATTACGGCCTAGGCAGCTCTATAAAATATGATCTAGTGGAAACTTCCATGTCATCTGCTCTTTCCCAGCCGACACATGTCCCCTCAACCAAGATAGAAAAGATGTTGCTCTAAAGGATCTCTGTAGGGAATATGCCCTAAAGACAGTCTGAGGATGAACCTCTATGCTCTGCAGCCCTTGATTTAGGAAACTTGTCCTCACAGTGCTTCTGGTATAAACCTGTTGAACCAGTGGACGAATAGATCTCCTATCTGAATCTGAGGCTGTGATCTGCAAGTCAGAACTACTCATCAATCCTCCTGATCATTAAAAGTCAACCTCCAGTTAACCTCCAGTGCGTGTCTCCCGGCATGTCCTCCCGACCCGACCCGTAAGAGTGGCTATGTGTTGGAGTGGCAATTCCCCTCCAAAAATCCTGCCCGACCAGTTCTCCCTCACACGGTCACCAGGAGACAGGGTTGGCCTTCCCATTGCCTGGAATTCGACATCACAAACACACCAAGAGATGCAGGAGAAACCTCTGGGAAAACTAGGATGTGTGTTATGAAGCAGAGGAATCATTATGTGATCTATGAGCTAGAAATACTGCTGTTCAGCTCGTATCAGCACACAAGCTTGTGGAGGTGGAAAGGAACTGGCTTGTCTGACTTGTCCCTAAACGTACAAGAGATGATGAGCTCTTCCTCTAATGAATTGCGAAAGACAGCTTAAAATCTTGCAGAAAATGGTATCTTTCATCTTGAAAAGATCAAGGGTTTTGCTTTTCACACTCTGGGAGAATACGAGTAGCTCTTGGTGAATCCTGGGGAAATTATTAGCAGGCAGAGAGCAGAAGCATCTGTTAGGCAAGATCGGAGCAGGGCCTCTGCAAGGTCAGTCCAGGTGTTTCCCAGTACTATTTACCTTAGCTACAAGGCTGCCTGCAGAACACTTGCCTTGCATGAGAGATGTCCCCACAGCTCTATGGTTTACTTGGTTCAGCCTTCCTTGGAGATGGAGCAGAAAGGGGGCAAAAAAGGAGTCTTTTCTCTATCTATGGGGCAAAAAAGGGGTAAAGTTTTCTATCACTTTTTAGACCACTTTGAGCTGCATCTGTCCAAGAACTTGCCTGGTCACTGAACCCAGCAAGTTGTAAAGGACTTTTCTAGAAGCCGAGATGGCTGTGTGGCTCCTTAGTGTCTATAACCTCCTTAAACGAGAAGAAATCCTCAGATAACTGCTAAGCTGCCTCACTGGTTGCCAGGCTCCACAGCTAGGCCTATAAACTAAACCCTACACATGAAAATCCTTTAGCAATCCTTTAGCAAAGTAAGCAGACTTTAAATAGTACAGCGAGCAAATTCATCAGTACATTAATGGAGACATAAAAGTAAAGGAGTAGTGAATAACATTTAGATCTAGCAACTCTCACTCTAAATCTAATTTCATATTAATTACTTCCACATAAAAATGTAATTATTAATTCCATACCAAAATGGAATAGTTCTTGCCTTTCCATTTCAGGTATTTTCTAAGGCCGTATTTTCTAAGCTGGCACAAACCCAGGGGAAACCAGCTCTGGAGCTGGCGAATGCAACAGTGTAACGCAGAGACACTTGCCCGCAGTAACACTGAAACCTCAGCTCCAGATAACGCCAGGCCAGCGGTTAAGATGAAAATGTGTAAGCAGAAAAGCTGCACTTTTTTGTGCATCTCTAAATGTTTGCGTGTGTCTTTAATGAAGGAGCACCCGAGTACTGTGTGCGTTCCCCGGGTAGGATAACCCGGAGCCACAAGGCCCATCCCTGGTGCCGGCTGGACAGGGATGGAGGGGACAGGGCTGCCCGGGGCTCCACTGGACCTCTGCGTGTCTAACGGCAAACAGGCTTCCCTTCAATCATCAGTGGAGAGGGTGAAAAAAGCAATCACGTATCTTCAGCTTCCTAGCAAGAATTGCCATCCTGTAAAGTTACATATTAACAATAACTTCATTTTGCTTGCATTTCAGCTAGCGTGTTTCAAACAGTTTTTTTTGTTTTGTTTTTCTGGATACATACTTCATTTCTGTGGCTAATTAGCGCTTGGGAATAGAAAGCAACTGTTTCCCCCTGATGGGAAACAAAAGCCCACAAGGTAGCTCTGAGGTTGCTCTGAAAAGCCAGGAAAATGTGAACGGCTGTTCCTGGTATTCTGAATGAAAGGAAGGGAAAGGGTTGGGATAAGGAAGCCACGGAGAAAGGGGAGATTGGAAACCAGTTTGAATTACAATTAAAAAGAAGGCAGCACGGATAAAAAATAGAGTTTAAAAAAATGACTATATTGTCATCCATCCACAGAAGTGGCTTTAAAAATGTGCTTGTTTGCTAGGCTTGATTAAAAAGAAATATGAAAATAGCTAATTTTCAATCAAAATATAAAGAGTATAAATGCCTATCATTTGCCTCAGATGAACGAATTAGACCACCTAAAAATATGGTAAAGCTCCTTAGCGTCAGGTATTTTCAGGAGACATTTTCTGCTCTTGGACTCTGGATTAACCAAGTGAGGGGTTAGTGACTTTCTAGCTTGCTTGGGGAGTGAAGCCTGGCTTTGCAGTGATCAAAGATCACTGAGGAGATATACTAGTTATAGAAAGCAGCCAAAGGACTAAAGGAGTTGTAATCTGTGCACTGCGTTTATTCTAATTGCTTGTTTCTAACTAATGTGAGATATCCAGATGTTTTGCTACTGGGAACTGCAATTTTGTAAATAAAATAATAAAAAAAAAAAGAAGTACCGTGACAAGCTGCACTTTGCAAAACCTCACAAAAATCAGCTTTAGAAATTTCTATAATCAAAGACAGACAAAAAAAATCTCAGAATAGCCTCAGCAGATATAAAAATAAACAAATATAATTACAAATACAGAAAATTAAAAGGGAGTAGATGTTCTCTTAACACAAAGAAAGCTGCCTTTCAGAAACTGCAAATCTGACCATAACAGTATCTGAAGGATCATTCAGGAAAAAAAGGGAAACAGAGCAGAAATGATTAAAATTACAGAAGAGCTGAACAGTCTGCAAGAGCTGAACAACGCAAACTGAGGAGAGAGCCTGAAATAAAAATGAAGAGGAAGACTGTAGTAAAACAGTGCTGTCAGGTCTGTGGTTTGATACTTCTATAGTGTGATTACCCTGTGGAGTACAATTCAGGAGTGTAATCATGATTTTACAACATAGCTACAAATGCCTGTACATGTTTAGGTGTTTTTCTTTTATGGGCTTTTTTCATTCCTGTAGCACAAGAATTAAGAGAGACTTCTCAATGAATTCATTTGTATCCTGCTATGCAAATTATCTCATGACCTCATCAGCACTTCCTTGCTTTTAGTATTTTCTTACTGTTTTGAAAACCTCGCATCAGTGCTCTGTGAAGTGATATATCCAGCTGAACACTATTTTTTCAGCTTCAGAAGCACTGAGTCGCCGACACAGGTAGATGGGATTTGGCTCCTGGTCTCAGCTGCTGCCTGTTCTCAGGGGCGGGATGCAGCTCCCCGCTCAGTGCATCCAGCTGCAGGAAGCAGAATTACACGTCCTGTGGCCCTGCAGTTGGGTGATCCTCTCTCTAATAATATTAGAGATTGTTCTAATTATAAATTTAAACTAAAAAAAGCATCAGTGAACAAATGTTTCACTTTTTATTGGTAAGTATATTTATGTTGTGAGTTTGTGATAAATGTAAGCCTGGAAAGTCAATAAACGGGTGTTCTGTTCATGGCTCTGCTGTGGGCTGCTATGGGAGTGGGTGCATATCACTTATTTTATCACTTTATCATTACATCAGTATTTTCAATCCAGAAAATCGTAACTTACGTCTCCAGAGGGGGAATCAAGATTCCCACTGAGCCATCTCAACGAAGATCATCAGGTATGGAGTGCATTGTCTTTATTAGTAAGTATTTTGGTTTATTAACATATCTTGGGAGCAAGATAAAATATATTGTCTTTTAAAGAGAATTAAAATTTAATATGGTCAGATGAAACAGATTTTTTCATCATAATGAGCACTTCTAAAAGGTTTCAAAAGATAGTTGGTTTATGTGGCAGTAAAGGTCTTCTAGGGAATATGTCTACTTGGTAATCAGAAGAACAAGAGAAACTTAAAGAAATTAAGAGATAATGGGATCTCTAGTGATATAACCCCAAATTTAGCTTTTATGTGTATTTCTGGTAATGCATACTTAACTATTTAAGCATGTGAGGGGTAGTGTTCTTATTAAAGTTTTTCTAGTTTAAATGTGGCATGTGTCCGAAAATTCAAGTTTGCAATCTCCAGTTAAAAAAAAGCTCACTATTTTTAATATTTTTATTTTTAATGCAGAATTTTCTCTCTGAATTTATGCTATTGCTGTTGGCAGGGAAGAGGAATAACATCAAGTTCTGTCTGAACAATATAAAGGTCATTAAAGTAATCAATGGTTTATTCTTTTTAAAAGGTGAAGATCTTATCTATCTCATTTCCTTCCAAAACTAGTACATAAAACCAGTCACAGCCTGGAACTATGTTTGCTGCTTAGCTGTAATTGTAGAATGCAGGCCAAGATACCTAGATGTGATTGTGTATTCTGACGCAACTCAATCAATTAAAGTGGAATTGAATAGATACGTTTTGATCTCCTAGTCTCTAAATCACTTGAATGACTAGAAGTACAGAAGATGGTTATTGCCTTCTATGCAATGGCTCCTGTTGGAGCGAGGCAGCAGGCTGCAGAAACCCTTCCTAGCCGGCTCTGGGTGCTTTGTTGGGGTGATGCTGTTCACCCAATACCCCCAGGAGGTGAGGTGCTTCCCAGAGCACGTGGGAACACGCGTGGTCCTGCAGGCAGATGATCTAACCTGGATAAGCAAGAGTAGCGGACATCTGAGCGGGGAAGAAGGAAGAGCAAAAGCTTCAACAAGAAAACTTTGCACTTGGGTTTCTAATGTTCTAATGTAATGTTACTTTTTCTTCTGCTTTTACTGGGAGTATTATTTTTGTCATATGCAAAATACACTTGGGAGCATCCCCAAAATCCCTAATTTTCCCAGCTCTCACTTTAAAACAGGGTGGTGAGGGGAGAGAGACAAAAATTCCATCCTGTGGGTTTTTCTAGGGGAGAAAGGCACAAAACCAGCCTGGGCCAGACCTGCAGCAGGTCTGCACGGTGGCGGTGCCGGGCAGCATCACATCTGTCCCCAGGTGCCTGCCCGGCCCCGAGTTACGAGGCCAAGGGCCCAGGTCCTGCCCCTCGGAGCAGGGGCACGCGGAGCAGTGAGAGATGCTCCCAGGTTCTGACTTGCTCCCTTGCTCAGGAGTGAGCTGTTTGTGTGGCTATTTAGCTGTCAGGAGTTAAACAACTCAGGTCTGTTCCTGGGTGTGCCTAGGGGCTTTGCTGATGAAAAGGAAGACAAGCAGGATAATTAAGAGCCTCCAGAGTTAGGCAACAGCTTGGTGAGGGAAGTCTGAGAATTTCAAGGTGGATCCACACAGAAACATGTGGGTTTGACTGTTTATTTGTTGGTTTCGGACAATGAAGGTAACCTTAGACCCCATACTTTATGTGAGCGGTAGCGACAGCCCATGGAGCTGCAGTACCCATCCATACGTGTCTGTTGCTTCTGCAGGTGTGTGGAAGCAGAATGGGATGTGTGAGCTCAGTATGATCTCTGGCCTAGCTGCTCAATGTAAAATGAGAAAAATGCAACCAGTTAATCATGACAACAGTAAATGAAGGTTATGGAGCTGCATTAATGCTCGAGTTGGCTCGAGAACATTTGTGCTGGCTATTAAATTTTAAATTCACAGCCTGGTGGTCAGTGAAATCAATCAAACGTATCTTCCCTGCCAGAAGGTTTCGTGAAGAAATAGGGGCATGAGAAACGAGTCTAGTGAGAAACTGTGGGAGATGGATAAAAGGCTGTTTGAAGAAGACTCAAGTTACCACAGCAGAGACAGGCTGCAGAATGAACTTCCTACCTGCATAGCTTGCTATGGAATAGGTTTGGGGCTTATTGCTGCTGCTAAACTAGTGGGAAGCACAGGAGATTTGACTTTCTGTGGATGAGAAAGGTAGTCATAATACAATTAAGTAAAGAGGCTTTTTGTCAGTAGATAAAAAGCTAGTGACACAAGTTCATTTGTAGCTATGGACACTAGTTACCATGCTCACTTTCAGGAAATCATTGTCATTGCTTTGTTTCTAGCCTATACAACTTATAGCATTGATCATCTTAGTCTGATGTGCTTACTCTTGTTTATTTTATCTGTTTTGATTGTAGAAGAACAACAGGGGTTGGGATATAGTAAGAAAGCAAAAGCAATCTGGTCCCCAAGAATTTTAAGTGGGGCAGAGAGATTTAGTGAGCAAGAGAATGTACCAGATCTTATTAATACTCTGTTGTACAAAGTTCACTTGTTAAGAAGTGAATAAAGAAATAAGGCCACCACCCAGATTTTGTTTTTCTGCAAAGATCTAATAAGAATCATGATATTAGGGACAATAACTTATTATTCATCATAGCAATTTGTTAAAGTGCTATGAACTTAAGACATTTTGAGCAGGGTACAAAGAATGGAAAATCTTAGCTAAATGAAATAATGATCTCCTTTCATATAGCTTACTGTGTGAATATTTCTGTAACAATTAAAAAGCTTGTTGTTGTGAACTTAAGCAGTCTGGAGACCAGGCATGTATGGTGGGATATCCAGGCCTCATATGAGTCATGAAAGAATCAGCAGACTGCTAGAAGCATAATCAGCTGTGCATTAAAATAAAGAAGATTTCAAGCCTCTAGAAAGTAGTTGGAAAAGGCTAGTCAGTTGATAGCAGGTGGGGAGGCAGAAAGCAGAGCTTGTTTTACTTTCTGTATGAACAAAACCTAGTCTTTACTAGAGATCTCCCATGCAAGGAAGGCTCTGATGTGAAATAATTGCTACCTTTGCTTGATTTAAAAACAGTTTCCCCAAATAGCAGTGATCTGAAAAGTTCTGCCTATCTCGGGCTCAGGCTGGGACAGCAGAATCTGAGCAGTGTCCCCAGAAATGCAAAATCCAGACTCTAAGGATCCTGGGTGCACACTGCAGTAATGAATTGCACTTTAGACAATATGTCTGTATAATGCTAGAAAAAGAATTCATTGCACTAATGAAAAGCACAGTGCTGAACCAATTATGACCTATACAAACTATGGCTGAGAATTAGGACTAGATGCAATGTCTGTAGAGCTTTATTGTGTGGTGCTTGTGCATCCTTCATGTGGATACTTGTGACCGAGGCAGAGTGCTAGACCACCTAAGGCCTGGTTTCAGGTTTGGCACATCAGCTCAGCGACATGAAGAGTTCTGAAAGCAGCAAGAGAACTGAAGACTGGTTTCTTTTGACCTTATATCTCCTGACTCAGTCGACCTGAAGCATATTGTAGAAAGGCTCTAACATTGACTTAGTGTTTCCTGGATGTTTCTCTAACATTGACTTAGTGTTTCCTGGATGTTTTAAAAAAAAAAAAAAACTATGTAAGATCCCGCAATTTTTCTCTAGCTTTGGAGAAGTCTCTGTGTTGCTTGTGAATTTTTCTGTAACTAGGAAGGATTTACATCCCTTCCTAGTTAATAGATGTTCTGGTATCCTGTCTCAGTTTTATGTCTTTCAATTAAGCATCTCAATTAAGGCATTAATCTTTTCTGAGAAGCTGCCCATTTTCATGGTAGGAATTTCCAGACTTTGAGGCTAGAACTGCATATTAAACATGGCTGCAACTGCTGAATAGCTTGAAAAGTCTTTGTGGGGTATGGAAGGTGTGAACGGAGTGTGCTGGCACAAGCTGAGCTTTCTTTCAGTTTTAGGCCTCTGCATAGGAAGCCTATCTGAGCCAGACATGCTATGAAAACTGCCCGGGACTGAGGCACTCTTGCATCACCGACACTTCCAGAATTCTGGTACTTGGCTATAAGAAGAAAGGCCAGTCATCGCCTCTGACATCTTAATCTTGTTACTTGGTTTCATGTCTCTAAAGGGATTTAGCTTTGCAGAGTGTAGATGTGTGAAACTCAGAAATGAGCCTCTTCCAGATGAGCTCAAGTTGCCTAAACAAACTTCTGCATTTCTTAAATTCTCTGAAGGCCCATTTGAAGCATGGTGTGAGTCCTGCAAGTCAGTAAAAGCCTCCTGGGAGTTGTTCAGTTCTTTCTGAATTCAGTGTCTTGAAGAACAGTTAAATGAAACTGCTTTCTTGGGCAAAGTAAACTAAGAAGCTTTGCTAGAAGACCAACTTGTGTATTGTGAAATACACAAGCCCTGTGTGTTTTTTGTAAGTAAGGATACATAAAGTAACTCCTGTGCAGGTAGTAGGTTTGTTGTTTCACTTTATACCTATTTTGGTTTAACACTTAAGCTTAAGCTGGCATAGCTAGTTTATCTGCTCCAAATCTTGCTTTTCTGCACCTAATGGTTTCATGGTCTCCTCTAGCAGTAATTCTCTTGTCCCACATTCTTTGATAACTGACGCTGCTTTTCCCTAGCTTTAAGGTGCCCAAGGAAGTCTTCAATCAAAGGATTGACCTTATACCTCTCAAACATATACACTTTTCTGATGAACCTAGAAGCAAGTGTAAGGATATCAGGATTGCTCCTTCACAGAAATGACTTGGAAGCAATCCAAGGTTTTCTTCAGCTAAAGGCAGTTAAATATTATCAGCTGCCTCACATACTGCAAAAAGTCTTTTCACTGGCACTGTGAAGCATTTTCACCTTCTTATCACTTTTCTTGGCTAAGTACTCTAGAATCTTTACAAGCTGCCTTGCCATATTTTAAAGAATTCATTAACTTCCCATACAACTAAAGTTGTATGATACACATTCACCTCGCCATACGCAACCAACTTTTAGGTGGTGTAAGATTCAGCATAGAGCTGGAGATGCTGCTGTGAGTGAGGGTACCAGCTCCTGTTGCTGCTGATAACGGTGCCTGGCAAAAAGTATTTGGAAATTCCTTTCCCTCCAGCCCATTAGTAATCACAGATGAGGAATTTTTGGATAGAATTTTGAACTAGTAGTTCATTTAAATACTACAAAGGGATTATGAACCTTGTTAAAATCTATTAATAATTTTACAAGAACAACAAATATTTTTCAGAAGTATTAGGGCTTTCCTTATCTACCACAGCTTGTCAGCTCCAGTACTAGTTCTAATAATGGTACGTGTAAATCTTGATGTCTCTAAATTCCTTTAGTAAACAGAGGAACTATGCCGTGCTGGCAACTTTCTGCTCTCTGCCATGTGTCCTATTGACAGTTTGGGTAATATATTAAGCTACAATGTGGGATTTTTCCAGTCAATTACATTTGCAATAGTAAGCCAATAAAATGTATATATTTTAAATGAAAACAGTAGTGTAGCAAGGTGATTCCTAACCATTTGTTACTTTCCCTTCCTATAAGTTGTCTGCTTTATGTGAAGATACCTCTGTTCTTCCCCACAAATTCAAATCTCTGTGAAAAAATCAGCAATCCATCCCCTCCACCCTCCCAACTTTGCCTTGATTTCCAGTTTTCAGAACAAGCTAGAAAAACAAGAACTGCAAAGACGCTGCTGCTGTTTTGCACACTAAACTGCTCTGGAAATTTTGGCAAGCAAGTAGCTTTTCACCTGATAGGAACTGACCAGTACTACTGAAACCAATTATATAATTCACAGCAACTTCTATAAATGTTCAAAAGAGCACAAATGTAATTGACCTCTTTAGAATTAGCAATACAATTCACAATGAGAACTAAAGAAACCTACTTAAAAACATTCTCTGTGGGTGCATACGTGCTGCTACGAAATTATGAAAATGATCTTCTAACAGCATATGTTTATACAGGCTTCATTTAAATATCTTAAACCCCACAAACCATTGATTTGAAATTCTGCTGAAATAATGTCTTTTAGAAACTCCAGTTTGGATATCTGATATCTTAATGACTGCAGCTCAACCAAAAGGCTTGTTTTAACCAATTTTTTCCTACAGAACTGTAAGATTTGAACTGGAGTTCAGTGCAGCATGTTTTAACCCCCTCACTTAATTCTACTGATGAAATATCTCTATTTTGTTTCTCTCTACAGTCTGACAGCTCTGAGTGCTTTGATTTGATTAAATGTGTGGAATATTATTAAAAATGCATTGTAATTAGCATGAAATTGTAACTTTCTCAAGCTTCACAAAACTGCTGAGATGAATGTGGCTACCACTTCAGCAGTGATGTTCTCTGTCACTAGATGAGATAATGAATGTCAGTCTGCCAAAGACTGAATAAACCTGCACATAGCTGAAAAGCCCACGTAAGCACAAGATTTGAAGCTGTATATATTTCTACTGATCTGAATCTGCCTGTTCCAGACTGGTCATACCATTTAGGGAGCAAGCTCAGTCAACGGAACATCCAGGATTTCAAGTACGGCTTGTGCTGTTGCAATCCTACAGAATAACCAGGATTTCAAGCACAGTCTGTGCTGCTGCAATCCTGAAGAGATATTATCACGAACCCGCGACCTTGTTTGTGCCAGCTCCACTAGCATTTACAAGGGAGTAACAAACGCTCTGATGTCACTTGCAAAATTCTGGGGGGTGGGAACTGGTATTTGGTATCCTAATTCAATAGCAGCACAAGCTTTCCTCTGTTTCTTGTTGTATTACTGCCATCTCTTTCAGATTTAATTTTATATTCAAAAATATTTTTATTGTGAACTGTAAATCTAAGTATACATATGAGATAGTCTACAAGGTCTTGATATTCCAAATGATATTGCAAATCAGCAGCAGATTAGCAAGTTCTCAATTAAATAAGACATACTTTACCTACCAAATCTGGTTTCAGTTTGTAGGTCAAAGGAAGAGAATAAAGTATGGAGTACAGGGTTGTTACCACAGAAGAGGTCCAAGACTGTCTAACCTCACGGCTTCTGGGAATGCGATCAAGGGTGAACTGGAAGAGAGCATGATAAGCTGAATTTTAATTTCTGGAAGAATATTGTTTTTCTAGAGAAGTATTGGACCTGTTTGAATGTGAAATCTTCTCTTAGGTGCTGTACTCAGTGTCGTGTGTAGCACTTCTGGCAAAACTGTACAACAAAATACCAGAACTGCTTATTCATTCATTTATTATTTAAATATCTTTTACTGTTACTTCCTAAAACTTCCTAAGGCAATAAACAACTTGGCTAGAGCAACTTCATTTCCAGTATGTTAACTTCGTGCCCCATCTAGTGGTTAGTGTGACACATTTCTAGGCTTGATCAGATTTAATCCGAACAACATGACTGTTCTGTCTTTTTGCCAAAGAGTTTCTCAATTCACATCCAATGCATATTACTAAAAGTGTAACAGCAAATACCACCATCCTTTAAATGACTGATCAATGAGTCTTATCAAATGGATAAGAAGAACATCTTTTCCTTAAAAAGTTCAAGAAAAAGTCTTGGTTCTTTTCCAGTATAAAAGGTGTGTTCTTTTTGCTTCAGAACACAGCATGCAGTTAACAGCACCGAGGCACCCTGTGCTATTCCCTGGTACTTTTACCTTGACCTAGAGGAATCACATGGAAGGACACGCTGCCAAATCAGCAGGCAGCCCTGAGGGCGGGGAAAGTTCTGACTGTTTAAATGAAAGACGAACTCATGAGCTGCAATGCAGTGTTCAGTGATGTTGACACATTTTTTTAGATCTGGACAATAGCCTCTAACTTCATACGGGACACCAAGTCACTACTATTATTATGGAACTCATGTTGAAACTGGGAGACTCCGAATGCTGCCACAAACATTGAAAATTCTTTCTTTTTTTTTTTCCCCCCCTCCAATCATACCATTTCTAATCGATGTAGCTTAGCCCTGGTGATTTATAACTGGAAAAGATGATGTTGCAATATTTGCACATCAAAAATAAAGATATCCTGAATAACAAAAGCTGGCAGCCTTCTTAGATGTAGGATGGAAAAATGCAGAATATTAAGTTCTTTCCTTGAGTGAAATGTTTTTTCAATGCAATAAGTTTTAATTATGATGATACTGGAAGGCATTAGCAGATAATACAAACTATTTGCTTTATGTTTTATTTGCAGGTGTTGAAACTCTGACTGCACTAGTCTGACAACAGTATATGGAAAAACAAACATGCCCCCTGCTCCCCATTCAGTAGGCATCTGGTTATCACCAGCTCTCCCTTTCATAGAGCTCTGGAAGAGATCAAGTGATAAAGGAGAAATGCCATAAAGTGGAGTTTAGACCCCTGTAGTACCTTTTAATAAATAACTGTTGTTAAAGTATCTATACAAACTTAAAGTAGCTGCAGAGTATAATCTATAAAGGTGTCAATAACTGAATAAGACTTACATTTACTTGGGGAAAAGTTTTTAAATAACTTATTTTTCACTGACATATTTTGCTCTACAAACCTAAAATTCTTCAAGTTCATAAACTTACAAAAGAAGAAAAAAATGGAATATAGTCCCAATACGAAGTGTGAATGTTTTTAATGTAGCACAACAAAACTTCTTGATTTAATACAGACAATTTGAAAGCATGGTAACATAGAACCATTTTGACAGTGAAATTACCTTTCAAAAAAAAAAAAAAGGTGTTTTTTGCATTCACCATGTTCCCTTAGGCTAAGACCAAACAATAATACTAAAGCCTGCAATAAATATGGATGATAGTGTAGCTTTCAGGCTTCAGTGGACACACCCCTCACGGGAAGAATGTAGCTAAACATTCTCTGCTGAAGAAAACAAATAAAAAAACGCATACAATTTTCTTTATCATGGAAAACTGATTTCAGCAAAATTTGGTAGGGATCCCTTGTGGCATCAAAGTAGAAATCTACTTGTAAGATGCAAACACAGATCAAACTTATTTTATCTATATTATTCAAAAGAAAAAAACATGCTTGAAACTTTGCATGCAAATGTCTGTCTTTTATGTTAGGACTTTGACCTACATATCAACCAACTCTTGAATATTAACTTGGCGGGGAACAGATTTTCTTCTGTTTACATTAGAAATGTAAAATTAGACCATTTTATCTCCTATTGTCTTCTGTTGTTGCACTTACTTTCCATTACTTCTTCAGCAGAATCAGAAACTTTCTCATTACTTGAGCCAGATGTTTCAGGCTGGCAATTGAAAACTGGTTGACTGAGGCACTGCAATTTTTAAATCAGTGATGTCCTTTACCTAGTTAATGTTGCTCTGCAAGCATGCAAGGAGAAGTTATGGAAACTTGGCACTGCTGTGACTTATAATAATGTGCTCAACTGAACACACAACAGTCTTTCTAAAGGAATTGGGTTTATTTAGTCTCCTTTCATGCTGAAGAGTAAAATCTCCTTGCATAGTTTCTTTCACAAACCATAAAATGGAGAAGAATGTGTGGCTGGAAGAGCATTATGTAAAAGCTAGTTAATCTGGTTACCCATCTCAAACATGGGAATTTGAGGAAAATGAAGGTGTAATTTAGAGCGAAGAATGTAGGTTGAGTTCCTCAGTCAGAAATTCTAAGTGATCCTTCTGCTGCTAGATGTGGTCAGCAGGAGCTGAAGCAAAATCTTTATTTTGAGGGCATCAGCTCTGGAGGAACCATGAAGAATAACCTTGATTACAGGTTAAAAGGGGAGAACAGAGAGGCCATAGCAGGGCAGGACACCTTTCATAGGAGGCACCTAACTTGGTGAAACTACATGATTTTCTTTTCAGGAGACTTAGTAGACAGAGAGGTAATACTTCATTTCTCTGAACTCTGTAATTTTCAGAGTTTTCCCATTCATTTATTCAAGGCTGCAAGAAGCCACTAATAAATGACTTTTAAATATCTTAGGCTCTATAGCACCACCTGTGCCAAAACATATGGTAGCTGAAAGCACACTGAAAGTTAGCAAATATTGGAAGAACTTATCTTCCATTTTCCCTCTGAATATTTTTGCTGAGTGGCCAGTATGCACGGGAAAAAAAAAAAAAAAAAAGAGAGAGAGAGAGAGAGAGAAGGGAAGGGAAGGGAAGACGAATGGCTAAATGAAAATGAGTATCTCCTATATGTTCCTCTAACTTTTCACCTTCAACAAAAAAAGTACATGATCCTATTAGCAGTTGAAGGCATAGAGAGTGGAAGTTGCTTAGTAAAATGACTTGTGTGAAACTATAATATTCTAATGATTTATCTGAAGTGATACCTGCAACATTGGTTACAGTAGATGAATTACTTTCTAATTAGCCTTAATCAAACTCTCATCCTTAGCATGCAATGTCCTTATCTAGTTCACTTTCATAAGAGTGAAAAACAATGTGGAGAGAAAGGTAACTGAATTTTAGCAAAAGTGGTTATCAATAGCTATGAAAATGAAACAATAGACACTGATCTTAAAAATCCTATTCAAGACACTTTCATGGTGTCATGAATTACTATGTTATATTATGATCAGCTTGTCTTACAAGAACATATTTAACAAGTTACCTGGGAATTGGAGAAAGTTTCAGCTCTCTTTTGTTCAAAAGAACGTATTTTAGCTTCACTCATCTTATCTGAGTCTGCGAGAATATAATGTCTAGGAGAGTATGACTCTGACAAACAACTAAGTAACCTCAGGATTTCTGTTGTGTGCCCACCTGTAAAAAAAAAGAAAAAAGAAAGAAAAAAGAAAAACTGCAGTTGGTATATGAAACATTCTGTAATTTCTAATCTCCTCAGCTGAATCAGTCATTTTTCCTTTTAACATTTATTGGTGCTCACAGTATCAGTCAAACTCTTTCACGAGTAAAGGATTCAGCTAGAGGTTGTTTGGGATTAAATGACATGAATAAATTCAACTCCCATTGAAGCCACATCAATGGAACTTTTTCAGCTCAGGGAGCTTGAAACTGATTCACAAAGAGGAAAACATTTGTTTAACGGGAAAAATCATCAGCAGTTACGTTGCAGTCCATACTCGAAAGCCACGACAGCATGGGACAACTGTCAGGATGAAACCACGGCAGCATGATCCCCCTGAATAAAATTATTTAAAGATAAAACTATCTATTTAAGATAAAATTATTCAAAAACAGTGTCTCATTACTGATGGAACTAGCTGATAAACGAAACCCGTGGGCAGAAACCCAAGTGCCAGCTATAGGTGTGCACCAAAACAAGCCGCAGAAACGGAACCGCCGTTGGTGAAAACGCCCCAGGGGCCACGCGAGCCACGAGGGGGCGGGGGGCTTGCCTCGCCCCGCCCACCCGGACTACAACTCCCGGCAGGCAGCGGGGCCGCGCGCAGGGATAACTGGGGTTTCGTCGCGCGCTGCCTGCCGGGAGCCGCAGTCTCTGCGGCGGCAGCCGGAGCGGCCCGCGCCGCGGCCGCCCGCCACTTACCGGAGCCGGCCACCACCAGGAGGCTGAGGGGAGGCGCCCGCGGGCCGCGCCGCCGCCTCGCCAGCAGAGCCGCGGGGACGAGCAGCAGCGGCAGGAGGAGGGCGGCGGCGCCCAGCCAGGGCAGCAGGGCCGCCATGCTGCGGCCGCGGGGCCGCCCCGCGCGCAAGGAAGGGGGGGGAAGGCGGGGGCGCCTCTCGCCCGACGGCAGCCGGCGCGGCTCAAACCTCCTCCGCGGCGCCAAGCGAGCGGGGCGGGGCGGGCCCTGCTCAGAGAGCGTTGGGGCTGCTCGTTGGGCCGCGCGGCCGTTGGGGCCGTTGGTGCCGTGTGCGCGCGCGCGGGGACGCGGGCAGTGCGCGCCCTGCTCGGAGGGTCTTCCCTTGGGCGGGTTGCATGTAGCAGTAATGGCCAGTAAAGCGTAAGAGGCTTCTTAGGCTACAGCGGCGGGGTTTGTGTCCCCGTAAGCGCTGGGTGCGTTGCTGGGAGCAGCAGAAATGGGCGCCTGCCGTCGCCGCCGCAGCCCTGCAGCCTTCCCGCGGCGCCGGGCTCGGCCGTGGCGCCCCGGGGGCGGCGGGCAGGCCCCTTGGCGGCGGCGGGTCGGTCCGTGGTTGGGAAGTGCGCGCGGGGCAGGGCTGTGCGGCTCCCCGGCACACTGCCCGCCGCAGCGTGCAGGAGTAGCCACAGGTAGTCTGTGTGTGTGGAAGTACTGTCCGCGCATAACCTGCGATAATGTGCAACAACCAAGCATGCTAATATTTTGCTACCTCTCCTGATTTTTTTTTTTCCTAATGCTGAAGCTTTTTTATTTCAGTAAGGAATGTGGGGCAGCAGATCGGTGTGTTTTTCATCTCAGTCAGCATCCAGCCTTTGTTGGGGAAACTGTGATGATTCAGCCACTGGACTAATCTCAGATGCACATTTGCTAGAAGAGTAAGATTATGTTTTATGATTTGGAAAGAGTAAATTTCAGCAGAGCTGCCTCATCGCTCTGCTTAAATTATCTGCCAGGGAGCCGGGCCCTCCTACTAGCCTTGGAACTGGGATCTGTGACTCCGGAGCTTGGAGGAGTGGTTTAGCCCCATTGCCCACAGGCTGACGTGACAGGCGTGCGGCTGAGTGTTTGCACCTCAAGTGCACAAACACAATAGACGGAGCCCATTGGCATTCTTTGTCAGTCACCTGCCTTCTGTGGCTGTTTTCCTGTTCATTCTGAACAGGTTGGCCTTCTTGTATCCCTGTCAGCCTTGGCAGCTGAATCTTTATTGTTTTTAATGAAAACTTATCCCAAGCATAGATTACAGAAATTGCAGTACAATTTACTGATAAGACATACTGTTTAGCTATGACTTACTGTCTTAGGATCTTAGGATATTTCAGGTTCTTGCCTCGCAGTTCTGCAGATCGTGTTTTGTCCTTGTTTGTATCAATGCCACCTGTAACTTTGCAGTTTTCTTAAATCAGAGACTCTTAAGAACAATGTTAATTTAGTAAGGTCTGCTACCCAAGTGAATGACCTATTTGCAGAAAGCCACACACACACAAAAAAATCCCTTCCTCCTAATATTTTTTGACATTTGGGAACAACTAGGCTTTAACAGTTTTGATGATGATCCAGGATTCAATGCCTAATTAGCTACATAAAGCTAATGACTAGGGACAACAGAGATGCACATCTTTAAATTACACGAGGAAGATGGAAAAAAAGCACCACAGTCCTTTTCCAAAGAATAAACATATATCATTATTGTAGCCCAACTCAGTAAGTCGTAAACCAGCTCAATAATTTCTGTAGGCTGTTAAAATACAGATTTTTTTTTGTCTGTGGTGAAAGTACAAAAGGAAGTAGAATTCTTCAACAAAAATAATGTCCCTAATTTAAAGTACATCCTAGTTTACCAGAAGGAGTGTGGATAGCAATTGTTTTTTAAGATTTTTTTTTTTCTGAAGCATTTTAATATTTTCCCTTTGTTCTTTTTCCTACTGCAAGAAATATTAAGGGAATGTTTTTAATTAATTATTTTACTCAGAGAGGCAACCCTGGAATTTCAATAGCTGTAAGTAATTTAAAAATACATTAACTTATTTTCCCCTTCTCACACTATGTAATCTGTATGTGTCCCCATTTTTAAATAGAGTTCTTCTGTAAGACTACTTGATTAAAATCATTAAAAATGTGATTTAAATCTAATAGTATTGGAAAACTGTTTTTTTTTCTTCTCCCCTAGGATACGTGATTTAATACAAGAATAAAAGTTAGTGATGCATACAGGGGAATGCTGCTTCTTCAGACTAGAAAACTGAGGATCTACATTCTTTGAACTCAAAGCAAATACTTTGACTTTCAAGAAGTCTAGGAAGTAAACCAGTAAGTTTGTCTCTCAGATTCACAGAGCAAGTGCTGGCAGCCCCTACTCATTTTGAGTTTTGCTTGAGAAGGAGCACAACTTTCAAGTAGTATCCACAGCAGATTGTGAGGCTTGAGGGAAGAGTCAGTTCAGTGAGGCTGCTTAAAAAAGTGTTTAAAGATCAAAGTGATAGTCTGCATCCTAACTGCAGCAAAGCTTTACAGATATATCTGTGATTTAGTGTGTATGAGAGGTATACATACATATCGATATAGGTATTTTTTCTTGAAAATGAAATGGAGTATGTGCAGATCCCATTTTCAGGAACAGACTTCTAATCACATTTTTTCATCAGTAGGACCCTGATTTTTTCTTCATGGTGGCAACTCACTGCATCCTTGATGCACACAGCCTTATAAATCAGGGAGATTTCAAGATGTAGCTACAATGAATGAAGCAAGCAGGTAGCTCTGCGTTCATTTCAATTTATTGCATGCCCAGTGGTGGATTTCTGTCTATTCTGTTAAGGTTTATCAAAAAACAGCATGTCTTCCAATGTCCAGGTCATCTTGTATTTAGTTTGTAAAATTAGTAATATTGAAAATGTACATGTAATCTGTTTGTTCTAATAATGTGTGAGAGGAAGCAGTGCATTTGCCCTGAAAAGTGACTTAAGTGACTTATGACTTTGTAAAGTGACATAAGTGCAATAATTAAAAGGACTGTCTGTGGCATCTCTGCTACTCATCCAGTAAATTAGCTTTGAACTTTAATGTCAACCACTCTTCTTTTAAATACTTGATCACTATTGTTCAAAGGGAAACCTTGAACATCTGGGATAGGAAGAAAACAGGCTCTTAAAAAATACTATAGTCATTTTTTATTTGCCACTTGCAAGACACTGTGGCTGAAGAAAAACCTACTGTTCTTTGAATATGTGCATATTCTCTGAAGAGGCTTCCTAGGATATTTACTGCATTAAATTTCTTCTTTGAAAATTAAAATGGTGAGTTTTAAATTGAAATGAGGAAAATTTAACGTTATGTCTAATTTCCATTTCTTTTGTCTCAAACAGGAAAGATTGCAATTAGAATATAAGCAAAAGTATTTTTCCCCTGAAGGAACAAGGCATGAATTGTAGACAGCTTTCACAATCAGATGGTAATTCACACTCTGACATTTCAGATTTTTTTTTGGATTTTAACCATCAAACAAGCCAGTTTTTCCATACAACCAAAATTCATGTTTTTCTAATTGTCATTTTGAATGATTATTTTTGATTTTTCTTGTAATTATGAATTCTAAACATAGACGTATGAATGAGAGTGGTTAATATAGAAGTTGTACTTTAGTAGCAAGGCAGAATACTTGTTCAGATAATGTTTGCTATTGATAGCTTCCTAGATGATTAACTGTTTTAAAACTACAGATCTATATGGTTGAGGTTTGCCAGGCTGGAATATTTACTCCAAAATAAGCTAAGTCAATAAAGTAGCTCTCTTGGACAAAGTCTTCATCTAAATACTCCAATGGTGTAATTTTGTAGTAAAATATATCAGAAGGTTTGTTTACGAAATTCCCATTGACCCCATGACCCTTGCACCAGTAAACTTGGTGCTGTCGTTTTGTTAAATTAGGTCGTTTTGTTTTGTTTGGCATAGAGTACAACTCCACAAACAGCTTCATCAGCTCTGCAGAGGAATAAACTAGCAAAACAATAGGAGGTGTTGGATGGGGAATTGGACAGGAACCTCTTCAGTTTTGTTACAGGATAAATTTTAATGTGAAACAATTTACCACATCCTTGGTCATGTATTTAAATATTAGTTTCGGCAAGGTAACTAAATATTAGAAGTGATTTGAAAAACAACATACTCTATATCGGAAAACTTGAGTTCTGCAGAAAGCAAATCCTCTAGATTTATGTGCTCTTGATGTTTCTGGAACTTATGTTATATTTTTGAAGAGAAAAAGTTCTGACAGGGTTTCTAATGACTTTTCTTTAGTATTAGACATGCAGATTGCATCTGAAAGAGTCTATAATAATAATATAAGTATGAAATTTTGCAGTTGAGGAGGAAAGAGATTTTTAATTAAATGGGTGGACTAGACCACTGTAGACCAACTAGGGGCAGGCTGGAGAAAGCAGCTGAAGCTACTGGCTAATTGCACTTGGTGACAGAACTGGGACCTGTTAGAGCCCATCTGTGAAGAGATTTGTCCCTTGTAGCACAATTGCTCTCAATTACTTTGTGATGAGTATAGTTTTTGTTTCTTGTGAGTCAGAAATGTACAGAAGTTGCTATCATTACAGTTATTGATATGTAGTCTTAGAAGTCTTGATTTATATCTGTAATCAATAACGTGTAATATTTATGTTACCATTACAGCTAATGTGATACCTCCTGCTATAATGGTACTTCTCATGCATTTAAGCTGTTTTTAGTATTTCTTTAGAAATAATGATGCAGCTTTTGCAAATGCATCAGCTTTGCTTGCCTAAATATCCCAAGTTATGGCCCAGATAATGAGTTTTTTTTTTTTTTTTTTTTAACTATTAAAACAGAACTTTCTCCTTTTCACATTTGCATTCTTTCTATTGCAGTTCCTGGTGGCGTTTTTTGCTGTCTAACTCCCAATCTGTTAAAGTCAATGGAATGTGATGACTCTGTTGACTCACAATGGAAATAGAGATGCTTGCAGGGGCTGGCCAAGTTGATATCTATATGATTGTGTGTAAATCTTTTGAGAGAAAGTCTGACTTGTCCAGGCTGTCCACACTTCTGTGCCCTGCAGAACACAGCACAGTGTAGCTGGGCAAGGACACCTGGGTCGTGCTTAGGTCTGCCTGTGTGCAGGGACTCTTATCCAAATTATCCTGAATCTGAAAATCCCACAAAAGTGGTATTTCCTCTGGGGTACAATCTCCATTTAGAGAGAGGGGGGAAAAATAATAAAGGCCTCTTGAGAGAAATTCCAGGTAAGTAATATCTGTAATTCACAAAATCCCATGAACATGTACTGACAGTAGGTTCTCTAAGCATTCCCTGTAGAAATGTTACAGCAAGGCATGTGTGTATGTGTGTGTATATATATTTATACATATATACTTATAAGTATATATACTTATATATACTTATAAGTTATATACTTATATATATAAGTATATATACTTATATACATTTATACATATATATTTATAGATATATATATACACACACACACAAAATAAGAGTAAATGTACCTCAGTGTAAGGAAACCAGGATGTTGTATTTTAGAGCATATTAAGTAGCAGGAGAATTACATGGTTCACAATTTCACAGTATATTTGTTATCTTTCACAAGGAGTTAATTCAAGCTAATTTATAATGTTTACCTAATCTGATATATTTTTATTGCTGAAATTCTTCCACCTTAGCATTTTTCTAATGTATGTTAGACATGCAGTTAGGATTATTTGGTTATTTTTATGTTTTTCTTATTTTCTTTTAAATTAACTTTTGGCTTTATATTTAAGTCTTCTCTAATATTTGAAACATTTCAGCAAGTGAATAGAGATAGTGTTGCACATTAGCAAAAATACATACGGTGCTGGCCAGTGTAAATGGAAACCTAAAAAATAACTCACCTATCTGACAGGCAACCTTTAGTTCTGTGTTTTAGCACTGGTGTATTTCAAATTCCTGTTTCTTTTCCTTTATGTGTTTCTTATCAGGACTGTTGTCCAAGGTTTTAGCATGCAACTTACAGCACGGGGTATAATTGCCTTCATATGGCTAAAACTGCATAGAGACGTATATGGAACAATAGGCAGATCAAGGCCTTGAAGATGGGGAAAATCATTAAACATGTGGATGTAAGTAGAAGCCATATTTAATCTCTAAGAAGTTAGGAGAGTTTCGATACAAAATTTTTAAACTGCCATGCTAACAAGCAGAGCTATAAGAACAGGGTCTTTGGTATAAGACGTTATTAGTATTAAAGTAAAGGTGTATAGAACATTCTGGAGCCCCAGAGCCGATGAAGTTCAGACTTCCTTGTGAAGAATGCATTCTACTGCTTTGGTATCTACTCCAAAGCATGGGATGAAAGGAATCTAGTGTTTAAAAGAGATAGTAATTTAAAAATCATATTGTTCTCTGGAGAGAGAAAAAAAAAAATATATATATATAGTTATTACATATACTACCGATTACTGTAGTATAGAAATATTTGAAGAACAGTTTCTAGTTTACTTCTTCATTTTAATGGATTTGAACAGTATTTAGACTTGCTTAACTGAGCAACTTGCTGAGTGTCTGCTCAGTTTTATTGTTCTCTCTGTACAGCTAAGTGATTTTCTCTCTTCAGTACTTTCTCACAGCAACAAAGGAAGCAAAGATCACAAAAATAATAGACAACTTTTTGTAAATCTTAAAAATTGACGTGGATGTGCAGAGGAAAGTATCCTGTGAAGAAACTCCATAACCTTTTTACTCTAATGTATTGGACATGAGACAGTGTTACTGAGCCATTCGCTCTGCACTCTGGTGCATTCTGACAGGGGCATAGTTAAGGCCCATGCGGCTGCCCGGGCTTGTGCCAAAGTTCAGACTGATCTAAGTGCAGCTGAGAAGCTTTTTAGCATGCAGATGAGCTGAGTGGTGCTAGCCCAAGTGTGTGCTCTGTCTGCTAACCTGATGTGCTGCTTTTGAAACCCTGATGCTGTTGTGTAAAACACAAAACCTGCTGTCAACAAGCACTCCTTTGTTCTTTGCTTATATTATGGTTTTCTAATTAGTGGTCCGAATATTAAGAAAAGGCATTGCTCTGTGCCCCTTGCATGTTGAATAGTTGGGAAATAATTTGTTTGCTTTTAATACTGGGCAATTTGACACCAATTTCCTGCTTTTCAATTGTGTGCCATTACAAAGTGCATTTTCTCTCAGTTTCTGCCATTCTGACATCATCAGATTCCTGTCAGTCCCCCATTCCATAGGGTCCTGGTTGCTAAGAGCCTTGGCCCTGGCAACGCAAAAGGGAGGATGTGCACGGCAAGAAAAGAAGCTTGCATTATTTCAGGCTTCCTCCTGCTGTTTTTGGTGTGTTTCATCTCACAGATTTGGAAACTGGGAGCTCGTTTTAATCTCAGAGCTCTCTGGCTTAAGCCTTTGGGAAGGGAGTGGTTTCCAGACCTCCAGTTTGTTGATCCCAAAGATGCATCCAGGTGCAGCGTTGCTCATTAAAGAGCAAATGCCACATTCAACAAAGCTGCCTTGCTGCCTGCATTGTTGGGCTTTGTGAGAGCCCATCTGAAGGGAGAAAATGCATGGAGGAATGTAAGGTGAGCAATGAAGGAAGCCAGGAGAAGACAACTGTGAGGAGGAATTAAAATAATGCAACAGAAAATCACCAAGAAACAGATGATAAAGCAGAAAAAAAATGAGGAAATGGAATAACCTGGGAAAAGGGGAAGAGATGGCATTTTCGATAGTTCTGTGGCTCGTATTCAGCACATCTCTCAATACGGTTTGATGTTTTGTGATAGTGCTGACATGATGTGTCAGCATAGCAGTTTGTAATGCAGCAGCATGAATTCAGGGTGCTGTTTTACAGGTCCTCAGTAGCTTCTGCCTGGTCAGAATCAGGACAGTACCAATAGCATGAGAAATGCTGCAGGTGAGAAGTAACTGGATGAAAGAGGCAGTGTGATGAGAGATAAATGGCAAAGACAGGGGAACGGAAAGAAAACTGAAGAGGAGGAAAAGGTTAGCGCCCAAACAGTTTCCAGAAACAAGCCTTTGTTCAATTACTGGGAATAGGTATCACTGTCAGAGCTGCTGTTGCAAATGGGGAGGTGACAGGAGCCAGGGAAGCTAAATGAACTGATCTGGAATGAAAAAGGGCAGGTGTGTTTGGAAGAAATGAACTAGAATAAAGGAAAATGAAGGTATTGTTTAGTACAATGCTTCATAAAAATGTGATGGGATATGACATAGTGATCTAGGCTGAGAAATTAAGATTCACATTTTATCTGAATGGATCTGAGCCAGTGTGTATCAACACACAGAACATGTCTACTCTAACCATTTTTTTTCCTAAGAGAATTTGTGGGAGAGGGGATTTTTTTTTTAACTGTAATCCTTTGATTGGTTGTTTTCCTCTTCCATTCACCATGTCCCTGATACTTTTTTTTTTTTTTACCCTTTTTGGCTCTTCTGTCTTGTGTTGTCTGAATTAAATGCTGTCAAACTTGCTACTACAGTTTATTGGCTTTTATGGGTGGCCTTAGCAATTTTTGGAGGATGGAGCTGTTTTTTTTCCTCACTCACACTAGTGTAACTCTGTTGGCTTTGGTGGAGTTGCTCATGATTCACATATTGTGAAAGAATTGTGCTTGATCTCTTTTATATGATCTTTTACTTCCATGATGTTTCTGCTTACATGTATAATTGATTTTCTGGGAATTAACTGCTTCTGCTCACGGGTAGACCTAGGAACTTCCTAAGATGGAAACAAATTTCAGCACTTTTGAGGTCACTGAGTTCAATCCACGGCTAGCACAACATGATGTTATATAATTTATTTCGGACTTTGCTTTGAACATTTATTAAAATTCTGTTTTAATAAATTTCTGCTTTACTCTAATTGGTAAATGTGGACAGAATGTAGTTAATCCTATTTAAATTCAAATCAGCAACTGAAATAATTTTTAAATGCTCCAAAAGAATTTTGTTTTCTTACATCTGCATCACTTCCCAGTACAGTAGCCTTGGTAAAGGCTTTGTTCCTGAGAGAGGGTGGCTCAGCTCAGAGAAAGCTTGGTTTCAAAATAAGAGGTTTACTTAGAAAATGAGTGCTGTGAGGCTGCCAGGCAGTTTTTTATTCATGGTCACATTTCTCCCACAGATTTTAGTGGGACTTGCAAGCAATCATCTGACAGCAAACTTGATCTTCCACACCCGAGGTACCGCACTGAAAGTCCATTAGCTAGGGAGAAGGCTACGGATCAGGTGTGTACAACTCAGCTGAGTATGGATTGCTACAGATTGTGACTTAGAAATGTTGGACTATCTCCTCTTTAACACTCCAGTTTAGCAGACTCATTCCTTTTATGGTCAAATCTGTCACTAACTCACAAAAGTCCTGGGCCTGATAGGTATGAAGCTCAAAATACAAGAAGCAGCTTTCTTGTAATTAAAGCACAGAGGATTGGCAGTGCACACCCCACCCCCTTTTTTTTTTCCTTATAGTAGTGTGAAATGGAGGTAATTTATCTGAAGCCAACAGAATTATGCTGTTATCTACAAATGCTGCTGCGATATCTCCATGTCCTGCATATCTGCCATTCCATAAACATGGAAAATAACTTATTCTTTGCATCTTTTTTTTTCCCCAAATCTCTGCTGTACACCTGACCATAGGCATCCCCACTGCTCTTGCTTCTCTTTTCTGCAGAGCTTGGCTCAGAAGTTGCATTTGGGACTAGGGAGCTCCTTGGCAGTTCCCGTTTTTCAGTTGCAACTTTGCTGTGCAGCAGCTGGGGTGGAGGAGTGAGACTCAGGTGTGTGAGTAAGAAAAGCCACCCAGCTACTGCAGACTGTGGCAAGCAAGAGGCTGCACCACTGCCCTGGGGGTTGTTTATGCCACCCTTTGGCTTCTGTGTTTCAGAAATAGGTCCTCTGGTTGCATAATGCAAGCGCAGTAAGCCTAATAGTTTTAGCACTTAGATTGACTGGAAATGTAGAGAGTGATTGTATAGTCAGTTGATGCAACACTCTGTAAGAGTACTCTCTTGCTTTTACACAGCAAGTGTCATGCTTCCTGGTGATGCTGGGATTGCTGTAGGCAGGCAGTGTGGACTGAATGTGTTTGCTCTGTGTCTCTGTTCAGGGTTTCTCAGCTGAGGACATCCAGGCTGAGGCTGGCACACAGGTGCAGTAGCATCCCACCAGGTGCCAACAATCCCAGACAAATCTGGACACTCTTTAGAATCTTCTCAGAGAGTGTTTCTGTCTGAAAAGAGGACAAGCCTAAGACACCAGGATGGGTGATAGGGATATCCCAATCCTGTCCCTATCACCAATTATTTATCTGCAAACTCTCATGTTGTCTTCATCCTGCAGTGTGCTCCCATGAAGAGCAGTTGCCAGCCCAGCAGCCTCGATGTATCGTTGTCTCTGAGCTCTGCAGTGAGCACTGCTCAACCCAGTTCCCGGGATGTTGAAAGGCGCCTTTGCCTCTGGTCATGACGCGCTGCGTGCTCCGCGATGTGCTAACCGTGTGTTGGTTAGAGATGCAGCGAGGCAGGTCCGACTAGTTTCACCCACGCAGCACGCTGGGCACAAGGAATCCTCTGGAGACAGCACACTGCGCCGGCCTGCCGCGCACACTGGCAAAGGCCTGGTTGGCCTTCACCTTGGTGCTGCCTAGTCCTGCAACTGCACAAGGCTAGGATGCGTTGTTCCGAGCCTGAGATCCCTGGTGGATGGTCTCTGGCAGAGCACTTTGTTCGTTTTAAGACATTGCCACAATTTATTGTAGAGACTCTGTGTCACAAGCTGGCACATAACAAACCTACCTGCTTTGATTGTTGCACTCTACTAGAACGCATATGACCTCAGGCAGTTGGGAGAAATAACATCTTAAAACACCGCAGCTGAATGTGCTGGAGCTTGTTGGTCAGAGCCCTTAGTTCTTAGCGTGTGAGTGGGAAGAATCTGCCTGAACCTGCCTCTCCCGATATTCCCACAGGTCTGAGAGTGACCGTGCCAGCCCTCACTATCCTTTTAGACCCTCTGTGATCCCCAAAGGCTGCTTCTTGTCTTGATGGAAGTAGTTGTCACAGTTGTTTTGAGCTGCGAAGGCAAGCAGCGT